CTTTGTTGAAGTATAGCAGTCATCCCGTTATCATATTCTGCTATGATCTCATTACGTGATGGAATGCTAGCTAAAAACTCGGCGCTGTCGTAGCGGGCGAGAGTTCCAGTGCGATCGGTTTAGTCAGAAATAGTTGTGATATGCTTGTCGTCAGTAAGTAAAACTTTATATACTCCAATATATTTCTGAAATGTTTAATATTTTTTTGGTGGATGTAAAAAAGAAGCGCATAGTAGGTTAGCGAAAAAATCGGAAATAAACTCATTCTTAATAGGTGGTATTTAGGGTAGGTAAATTCCAAATCTATTATAAAATATTGAAACTTACCTACCCTAACACTAGTATGTACTCGGACATGGGAGACCTTCATTAACGCAAACCAGCTATATAATTTTGCGCCTAGTCAGAATCAATATATACTGCCTACTTATACCAGCCATCAAGAAGAAAGGCATCCGGATGCATCCGGGTATGTGTATTCAGGTATCTTCTTCGGAAATATAAAAATATTGGTAGAAGCCTACCCTATCACTAGTATGTAGTCGGGTATAATATGATATTTAGGATAGGCTTCTTCGGTATCTTTATATAAAATATTGGCAGAAGCCTAATAATCCCAAGAAAGATAACAAACGTACCACTAGTGCCATATTTATTTCTTATAATTTTATTATCACATATGATGACATATGGTATCTTCTCAATCGAGGCAATGAGTATTTAGGGTATTCTTCTTCGTAATTATTATATATAAATTGGAAGAAGAATACCCTAACACTAGTATGTAGTTGGGTATAATATGACATTTAGGGTAGGTAACTTCGTAATCTATTATATAAATATTGGAAGATGCCTTCATCTCTTTAGATATGTACTCGGGAATGGTGTAACCTTCGCGTAAGACTTATACTGGCAACAAATAGACAATAGTTGGGTTGTAGAATGACGCACTTTTTGACAATCAAATAGACCGGCCATGGTATTGGCTTCGATGGATATACATCACTAGTGCCATATTTATTTTTTATAAATTCATTATCACATATGATAACATATGGTATTTTCCTAATGAAAGTGAAGACTTCTGAACTCCGTTCTCAATTCAGTGCTCCAATTTGTGATCATTTATAAAATGAATGTATTTATTAAATATTTCACGAGGGTCACCAACCTGACAACCAAGCTCAGTACGCCCACGGCATACCCAATATTTCAACATTCTAGCGAGCAACCAAATAGGCGTAAAGGGTAAGCATTCCAATATAGAATCCAAGACTCAATCAGATGTAGAAGGCCACCATCCTCAATATAAAACCAGGCATCCAAACAGTTACAGAGGGCCAGTAGCTCTATTATAGAATTTAGTGTATAAATGACTCAGAAACGAGAAGAAAAGAGAGGTAGTTAGATTAAAACGTGGTGGTATTTAGATTATAACGTGGTAACAAAATTATACATATGAGAAAAATACAAATATCAAGAAAGGTATAAATATATAACTAGAATGCGAACAGAGGTAACATCAAAATAAAAGTGTAGATTAAAGAGTGGTAACCAGGTTATGTATTCAGATTAAAGCGTGGTGATCAGGTCATAGTCATTAGATTATAGCATGGTATTTAGGTTATAGTGTGATATTTAGATTTTAGTGTAACATTTAGATTATAGTGTGGTATTTAGATTATAGTGTGATATCTAGATTATAATGTGGTATTCAGACTATAGCATGGTATTTAGATTATAGCGTGGTACTATAACCTAGTCTAAGTGGGATACCACGCTTTAATATAATTATATTAAAGCGTAGTATCCCACTTAATTTAATATAATAAATCTAATAAATTTTATTTCATCTTTTTATAATCATTAGATGTCAAAATATTTTTAAGTTTTCTAAAATGTTTTATAAACCAATTTATACTTAAAATTTAAGGGATAATTTTTAATATTTACACTATTAAAAATGATAAAAATTTATTTTACATGTATTTTAATAGTTCTTACTAATAAGATAAAACTAGCAATTATAATTATTTTTAAAAGTAAAATATAATGCAAAAAAGATAAATAATAAAATTTTAAAAGTGAAAAAATTTATAAGATCAGATTGTAATTGAAATTGATATTAAAAGTTTGAAATAAAATTTTTATAAAAATATAAAAAATTATTTAATAGTGTAATTTTTAAAACCTAATAATAAAAGAAGTTTCAAATACATACCAATTGAGAAATCAACCTAACTTAATTTATCTTAATATTAACTTCAAAGGTAACAGTTTATTAAAAAAATAATAAAAAATACGAAAATACCTTTTTTTCTTCATAGTTTCGTATAACATGTCAAATTTTTATTTTGTATTAGTAATTTTGGGATAGTACTTTTCGTTCTATGAAACAATAAACAAGTCCAACATTTATTCCTTTATAGTGTTAGTGGAAATATAGTAACCCAAAGATTTTAATTAAAATACGTGGAGTAAACCTAGTTCGAGAAAGTCCGAATGTTTTCAAAATATTATTTTTAATAGATAAATTTCCTTATTCGGAAACAAAGTTCCAATCCTTTTTTTTTTTTTTAAATCAGTTACCTAAATTTCTATAATTTTTATTTTGTTAACATAGCAACCGTTCATAAACCGATAATTTTGATCCCGAATGAGAAATCTCTTTAATACATTAGAACAATCTCGAATACATAATTTCTCCCTATTATGCAATGAATTTTATATCTAATTCTAATTATGTAGAACTGATTAAATAAAGTTTTTTTTTTTTATCGTGCAGGATCCTACGACCCATATGAGAATTCGTAATCAATAGATAAGATAAAAAAAAAAAAATAAGTGATAAAAGGGAAATGATCGATGGTTACAAAAAAGAGTTGAATTTGTAATTGCCAAGATGCTTTAAGCGAAATAAAAAAAAAATACTTATTTTACACATGTATCACATAATTTATTTCCTAAATTTAATTTCAATTTCAATACCTCAAATAAATATTGTCTTACAAATTACGTCGTAAGCAAATGGAATTTAGGGCTGAATAAATGTTTTTGGATGGGCGGCGGCGGAGAAAGGCGACAATAAAAAAAGGAAAGTCAGGTGATGGTTACACCACATGAAACGGTGGCCAATTGGAATAATTGCTCAACTCACATGCTAACCACACGATTTCCAAAAATGATGGTTAATGTAGATCCGAAACCGAGACTTTCATTGATTTGAAATTCATGCATTGACCAATAAATTTATTGAAAATTCACACGTGGATATTTTACATTAACCAATTATTAAGTGGAAATATCACACCAAAAAGCAAATCTACCAATAACGACACGTCATTTTGACATTTACTTTTTTTAAATTAAGGGAGGAAAAAAAAAAGAAATAAATATGACAATAGAACGATTTTAATTTTTTCAAATTTTTTTTTTTTTTATCTCCCTTTTTAAACTTTATAAGAGAAACATTCATAATAGCAATAGAAAAAAAAAAATAATAATAAATAAAAAAAATAAGATGAATAATTGTAAGAATAATAGTAATAATACGATTACAGGGTATAGAAATATTATCCCAGCACCACTTCCGTCACCACATAACTCACCTCAAGTACACCCAAATCCTCAACATGGTTCTTTACCGCCACCTTTTGGCACTCCACCGGTCTCACCGTTCTCCCATCCAATGAACAATGATTATTCAACTCCGCCACTCATTCTTCCGCCCATGATGTCTTCCATTCCAAAACAACAAGGACCCACCACTTCGGTGTTTTCAGTACCAATGACCCCCTCCAACGCAAATAGTGTCATGCAACATCATACTTCCGTAATTCATCCTTATCCACATCAACAACATCGTATTTCTATCGGTGCCACGGCAGCCGGAAATGGGAAAAAACCTCTCAGCACCGCGGATCAACGTGAAATGGCACGTAAAGTATCACATTCGGCGATAGAAAGACGTCGTCGTGAAAAAATTAATGACAAAATCATGCAATTAAAAGATTTGATTCCAAGTTGTGCTGATCAGGATCATTTACATAAATTGAGCATCCTCCAAAGTGCTATTGAATATATTCAATATTTACAAGAATGTGTTGTGGAATCAAGAAAACGTGAAGGAAATAATGGAGAAAACTCGGAAGGACGAACTACCAAAAGATCAAAATTTGATCGTTACGAAATTCCTATTTCCAAAAGTAACGACGCTGCCGATAATTCAAAGAACAAGAATGATTCTAGTAATGTTAACAAAAGTGATAAATCTAAAAATAAGGAGGAAGTAGGTGTCAATAATGAAGGAGCAAATGCTTTATTATTATTATCCATATCACACACCTCGGCCAATTCCGATGATAATAATAACAATGATGATATATCAGATAAAAGAATACTGGTGACTAGAGATGTTGAAGTACAAACTTCTTCCAACTTGAAAGAAGATGAACATGAACGTGAAGAAAGTACTCCTTCAAGGAGCGCGATGACCGTTCAACAATTATTATGTTAAGCTTATTATTTTAAAATACTTTTTTATTTTTTATTTTTATTCTTATGTTTATATTTGTTAATTCGAAACGAAAAAATTTTTTTTCGTTTAGTATGTATGTGGTACAATTACTTTTTTCTATAAATTGCGATAAATATGTATAGGGTGTGGAATCTTTTTTTTTTCTAAGAAATAATAAAGTTCAATTCGATTTTCCGTGCAAAAGTGTAAATATTTTCTGCGCCTGCAAAATGAAAATTTGCTGCGGTGATTAAAAAACCCATCGTTAAATTCCCTTTGTGCCTAAGATCTTATCTTTGACGAGGAATTTTACAAAGAATCATAATGTATGTTTTTTTCCTTTATTCTCTCATTCACATGAAAACGTTGTTTGATGATACAACAAACAATGTGTATATCCAAGTATTGTTATCAATCATTTAGGGACTAAAAAACTAAAATAACGTTTTGTAAAATTAGATAAGGACACATAACGCATTTTAATTTTGAGGTAATTTGTATTTATAATGATTTTATTCTTAGCAGTTTTAAAATAAAAATCGAAATCCAGTTAGATAAAAATAGTTTTTTAAAGTGATTATTGTGGTAAAAAAAACTGATATCGATTTCAAAGTTTTTGACAAAAAAACATTTCTTTGTTCTCGGTACATTTTTTATTTCTTAGAAAGAAAATCACCGTAAGATCGCCATCGTGAAATTAAACCAATAAATGAGGTGGTAAAAAAATTTTTTTTTTTTTTTTAAAAATAAATTTTTTAATTACGAAAATGACAACTGTCGAAGATAAAAACTTTGCAATTGAAGAGTATAAGAAAGCTGAGCAAAATTTGAAGCAATTCAAGGAAGGGAAAGAACAGGAGATATTATACGAGTTGAAGAATAAGTTGGAGGATAAAAAATGGAGGAACGAAGAACAGAAGAATGATTGGGAAAAGGAGAGGGACAGGTTAGAAAAAGAAAAAGAGATGTTGTTAAAGAGTAAAGAAATCCACGTTATTGAAGCGTTAAGAGAATGTAAAAAAGGAGGTATAGAACAAATTGCATAAAAAATTATTTTTCATTTTGTTTATTATTTATTTGGTATATTGTTTGCAATATTGACTAATTTTTGTTTCTTTTCCTTCAATACTTCGACTTTTTATTATTTATTTACATCCACAGAAAGTAATTATAGACGTAAAGCCAATACTGAGGATACAGAAGTTTACATAAAGGGTCTCGTGAAGAAAATAAGACTATCAGATTCTTTGCAAACCCGAAGAAATGGAATGAAATACAAACTGAAGCAGAAGCTTCTGGAAACCCTGTTACTCACCAACATTTCCATCTTTGGAACCTTTTTTGAAGATTGTGAAAATATAGAGGCAAAAAATGTTGATTATGCCTTTATACATTTATTAATACCTAGTTATTTGGCCAAAATTCGGCTATTATGCCATTTTGGCCATGGTATTATACCGCCGCACATTTTGGATATGCAGAAGCCCAACATCGAATGGGCCTCTTCTGCTATTTTGACAAAGACGAAGAAAGCGCGTTCCAATAGTATTTGCTTTTAGTAGGATGCAATATATGTAGTACAATATTATTGAGAGAAAAGGATATGGTGAATTGGCCTCGGCCAAATTGCCAAAAAATTTCTTGACCGTGGCCAAATGCCATCACTGTATTAAGTCATCGTTTCTTACATTATCACAAACTATGTGGGAACAAATTTGCCGAAGAGAACCACCACCGAGCTTGCCTTAATTAGTAAATGATTTAGCTCTCGAATATTCTTCTGTAATTATATCTTTCTACTCTCAGACTTGGAGTAGTTTCTAGATATGAAATTAAACCCTTTCTCTTTTAATTCTAGTTGTCAAATTCTTTTACACCGATAAAAGATATTCAAGATATTTGGTGTAATAATTTTTCTAAGGCTACAGGATTGACGGATCGATGGGGTGGTAGATATATAATTAAATCAAATATATGTATAGTCCTTATAATTCAGATTTTTTTTTTACTATATGTGTTTTTAATTACCGATTTCGGAATAGTGTTAGGAAAATTATACAGGGTATCCGGATTTGTGTTTAAATTATTTATTGGCGGTATTATACATTTGAAATATAAATTTCATATGGAAGGTTTGCTAGGAAAATGGGACTCTGAGACCTTTTCACCAGCATTGAAATTTTTGCTTTATATTAATCTATAATATAATAACTTTAATTGGTTAAATTTTTTAAAGTACTTTAACTTGATATTAACATGATTAATATACTATTTAGAAAATGATCGACATAATTTAATTAAATTATATAATAAAATTTTAAAATAAAATAACTTGTTATTTAATGATTATAAAAAGATAAAATTTAAATCCTCTCATTAAAATAAATCAAATAGTAAAATAGTTATATTTTAAATAATATATTATAATTAATAAATATAATATATTATTAATATTAAAATATAAAAATATTATCATTAAATATATATTTATAATGCTTTTAAAAAATATTAATAAATAATTATAATAATAATATATATAATTAGAGCTCTGAACAGGTCAGTTCAGGTCAGATCAATCAAGTTATCTGAACTGAGATGATCAGGTCAAGTTAAATAAAAATCTGATCTTATTTAAATTTTCATTTGACTTGACCTAATCTAATCTGATCGAATTATAAAACATTATTTTTGAACGATAAAACCATCATTCTTGAACAATAAATCATCATTTTTAAACGATAAATCATCATTTTTGAATAATAAAATTATTGTTTAAGAATGATAACGAATCATTCTAATTGAATGATAAAATCATTGTTCTTAAACGATAAAATTATTATTTTTGAATGATAAAATCATAGTTCTTGAACAATAAAACTATCATTTTTGAATGATAAAATCATCATTCTAGAATGATAAAACTATTGTTCTTGAATGATAAATTATTGTTTTAATTGAATGATAAAATATCGTTCTTGAACGATAAAACTATTATTCTCAAATGATAAATCATCATTTTTGAACAATAAAACTATTATTCTCAAATGATAAATTATTATTCTCAAGTGATAATAAATCATTTTAATTGAACAATAAAACATCATTCTCAAATGATAAAACTATCGTTCTTAAATGATAAATCATCATTTTTTAATGATAAAATCATCATTCTTGAATGATAACGAATCGTTCTAATTGAACAATAAAACCATCATTCTTGAATGATAAAACTATCATTCTCAAAAAATAACAAATCATTTTAATTAAATGATAAAACATCATTCACGAACGATAAAACTATCATTTTTGAATGATAAACATCATTCTTAAATAATAAATCATCGTTCTAATTGAATGATAAAACATCATTCTTAAATGATAAAACTATTATTCTCAAATAATAAAATTATCATTTTCAAATAATAACTAATCATTCTAATTGAACGAAAAATATCATTCTTAAATGATAAATCATTGTTTTAATTGAACAATAAAATATTGTTCTTGAATAATAAAACTATCATTCTTAAACAATAAATCATCATTTTTGAATGATAAAACTATTATTCTTAAATAATAATGAATCGTTCTAATTGAACGATAAAATATCGTTCAAGAATGATAATGAATCATTCTAATTGAATGATAAAATTATCATTCTTAAATGATAATGAATTATTCTAATTGAATAATAAAACTATCATTCTCAAATGATAATGAATCATTCTAATTAAACAATAAAATATCATTTTTGAATGATAAAACTATTATTCTTGAATGATAAAACCATTGTTCTTAAACGATAAAACTATCATTCTTGAATAATAAAACTATCATTCTTGAATGATAAAATTATGTTCTTGAATGATAAAACATCATCTTTAAACAATAAAATCATCATTCTCAAACGATAAAACCATTATTCTCAGACAATAAAATCATTATTCTCAGATGATAAAACTATCATTCTCAGACGATAATAAATCATTCTAATTAAATGATAAAACTATCGTTCT